CCCTGCAAAAAAAAATGTTATCAATTTTTTTCTCCTGCATGCCCCCAATCCATCTAAACTCCATTCACACTGGATCATTAGCTGATTCCTATTCATTGGGGTTCTCCTATCATTAAAATATTCTTCTCCTTTTGTTCCTGGAAAAAAAAAACACCCAGATGCATTCCTCTAAGCTTGGACCCCTCCTAGCTACTCAGCAAGCTGAGATCTGAGGATCACAGTTCAAAGCCAACCTGGGCAGGAAAATCCATGAGACTCTTATCTCCAATTAGCTACCAGAAAACCAGAAGGGGCACTGTGACTCAATGTGGTAGAGTGCTAGCCTTGAGCAAAAGAGCTCAGGGACAGCGCTCAGACCCTGAGTTCAAGCCCCATGACCAAAAAAAAAAAAGTCTGGTCCCAAAGGTCTCACCTGTAGAAGAAGTTCTCCTCCATCCTCCTCAACTAGTGATCTCAGTTTAGGGTTGTCAGTGGACCCAGGGCCTGTGTACTGGCTCAGGAGAACCACATAGGATGTGCCCAACCAAGCACCCAGAACTGAGCTGTCAGAAAGAAGCCAAGACCCACTTCTAGAAGTATCTGCAATCAACCTGGTGCTGAGTTTATCCGCAGCTTTTGCCAGCCCCCTGAGCCTTCCCCTTTGATACCTCTCCTTCTCCATCTTGCAAAAAATAGCCCTGAGACCTAATTTCTGCTAAACCTTCAAACACCACTCTCCCCTTTCAGCTTTCTGAGGAAGAATCAATCGGCTGTCAAGTTTCACAGCGCCTTTGCCCATCTCCTGAACCCCTGGCCCTGCCAGCATTCTGCCAGGGCTCTTCAAGGTCAATGGGGGCAAAGGAAGGGAAACAGACAGACTGAGCCCATCCCAGAGAGGCTGGGCAAGGAGGCCTGGTAGAGCGAACATCTTCCCACAGACTAACTGCTTGGAGAGGGGTGGGCGTGGTCTAGCAAATAGTCTGAAGCCCCACCTGCTGCCCCCTCCTCCTAGGAGACACCAGGTCTGAGAACACAGACCTGGATGTGAATCCTGAAGTCTAAGAGCTGAGAAAGTAAGCTCCCAGCCCCTCATCCCAGGAACCCCTACTGCCTTTAGGGGTACATGCCAGTCTCTGGCACTGTTGTTGGTCCTAGGGAAACCAAGGCCTCCCTCCCACCCTGGTATGAAACCCTGCAAGGCTTCAGTGCTGTTGCTTGACCTGGAAACTCTTTCTCTTAGCTTCCAAAGCAGACATTTAATCACCTGCTGAATACCCAAACCGTATGTTGCCTTACAAGGCTCATTCCCTTGGTTTTCTTGTTTTCTTTTTTCTCTTTTTGGTCAGTCATGGGGCTTGAACTTAGGGATGGGCTGTGTCCTTGAGTTCTTTTGCTCAAGGCTAGCACTCTACCACTTGGAACCACAGCTTCACTTCCAGGTTTTCCAGCGGTTAACTGGAGACAAGAGTCTCAGACTTTCCTGCCTAGGCTGGCTTTGAAGTGGGATCCTTAGATCTCAGACTCTTGAGTAGCTAGGACTTTTCCAAAAAGACAAACTGAGGCCTATCTCATGGGCATCAAAAGGCAGACATGGGGCCAGCCTTAAATCACAGCTGCCCTATGGTCTGGCCTAGGTTGAAACCAACACAGCAGAGCTGAGGGCCCTAGGGTGCAGACAACACAGGCCCGGTAATTACCTCCAGCTGGATGTGGCCTCTGCCCGCCCAGTCCCTCTCCCCACTCCAGCCTCAGTTTCCATGGAGCTGGAAAACAGAAGGAGACCTCAGGCCATGACATACAGTTGCCTGTGGGGCGTCTGCGTGAGCAGTGGTGACATCCCTGTTACCTGGGAACGCAATGGCGGAAACAGTGGTAAGTATTCTCAATTTCCTGTGCTGTCTTTTCTGCCTCCCCCAGGCAAAACCAAGTTCCCCGGGCCCCCTCCAGGTCTACACCGAGGAAGCAGCCATCAGCTGAGAACAAGAATGTGAGCACAAGCATAGGGCTGCCACAGCTCAGAGTCGGCTGTGGGCTGGGCAGGGCCCGGTGTGGGGAGAGAGGCTTTGAGCCCTGTACAGGGTCTGTGCGCCGAACCAGGCACGCTTGACTTTCCCCAAAAACATTATGTCCTCTGATCTACACTCATCTCTCCTCAGATCTTTACTGGGCTGGAACCAGAAAATAGAACCCAAAGCCAGGCATTGGTGGCTCACGCCTATAATCCTAGCTACTCAGGAGGCTGAGATCTGAGGATCGTGGTTCCAAGCCAGCACAGGCAGGAAAATCCACAAGGCTCTTATCTCCAATTAACCAGCAAAAAAGCCAGAAGTGAAACACTGCCTCAAGTAGTAGAGTGCCAGCCTTGTGAGAAAAAGGATCAGCACCTAGGTCCTGAGTTCAAGCCCCAGTACTGACACCAAAATATCAACATAAAGCACCCCCCACCCCAAAACCAGGACACAGACAATTGTAGTGAATTTTATCTGTTAAGTGCCTACTCTGGGAACGAGACCCAGAGAGGCTGAGTGACTAACACAGCCATGCAGCTCATGAAAGAACCAGGAGTTGAACCCAGCTCCCACAACTGAGTGAAGACCGGGATAGACCCTTTACTCATTTCATTTCCTTAACAACTACACACAGAGAAAGGACCAAAGTTCCCAGAGAAAGACAAAAAAACTGATCATAGCTGAATGTCCTGTCTATGTGACACTAGGAAAATGGCTTTCCTTCTCTGGTCTGAACCTCGGTTTCCTCAGCTGTGAAATGGAAGCACCTCAAGGTGGCCATGAAGAGTGGGGAGACTCCCTCATCATCGTCATAGTTCCCCCCAGCCCCCCAGCAGTAGTACCCCCTGTGAACAGGCTCGCTTCCCTACAGATTCTATCCAGACAGGTAGGCCTGAGTTGGACCCCAGGTGCTGAGGCTGGAGGATGACTCTGATCCACAGGTGGCTTCTGCCCCAGGAAAACAGAACGAAGACAGCCTGACAGGAAAGATGCCAAACCCCGCTGACAATTACCAAGCTGCGAATTGCAGCAGTTTTCGAGGTGTGATGGCACTCGCCTTAGAGCGGCATGGAAAGAAGCCAGTAGAGGAAGGGACGCTGCTGGAGACGCCCCTCTCCCCAAGCCCTCAGGAAGCTGCGATTCTGCCTGGGGTCTGAGATACACCCCGCCACCCCCGGCACCCTCAGGTCCCAAGCATAGCCCCACCACGCAGTGCAGCTTGGGTGAATGCATCCCCCACCCTGCTACATGATTTATCTTGTCATCCTTCCCTGGGGCCCGGAACACTGACCCTGCCTGAAGTAGTCCTGGAGCCCAGAGAAGACAAGAAGTAGCTTCTGCTCCATGAGACAGGAATGGGTTAACCCTGATGGCACGTGCAGAGGCAAGCAGGTTCACGCCTGCAATCCTAGCTTCTCAGGATGCTGAGATTGGAAGATCATGGCTCAAAGCCAACCTAGGCAGGAAAGTCCAGGGGACTCTAATCTCCGATTGACCACTAAAAAGCCAGAAGCGTCACCATGGCTCAAGTGGTAGAGCATTAGCCTTGAGCACAAAAGTGTAGAGACAGCACATGGGCCTTGAGTTCAAGCCCCAGGACTGCACAAAAAAGAAAAGAAAAATGCAGAGGTTCAGGCTCTGCCTGACAGAGTTCCAGACCTCATTTACGCTAAAGAGGACGATGCGCATCCCTGGTAAGGGAAGCCCTGAACCCTTAGCCTGATGCCTGAGGCCCCACCCAACCCAGGCTCACCACCTACCCCAGCCTCCAGACCCCTGGCGCCAGGTTCAGACTGCACCTGCACAGCTCATACACCCCAATGCCAAGTGTGTAGCCACACCTGGGCAACCACAGCTCTCCTACCTGCACCCCCCCACCCCTGCCTACTTCCACTGGCCCTGTGGGGTTCAAGGCCCCTCTCTCACTCATTGGGGAAGTCACTCCCAGCTCCCCAGAAACCCCTGAGTCTTGCGAGCCGCAGCACCCAGACCTGAGCTCTCCATCTCCTCTACCCTGTAGATGGCCTCAGCCCGCCACAGGGCTGGCTCCTCATCGCTTAGGTGTCAGTTCTCACTCGACATACATCGCTGCCAGGCCACACCACCTCGGAGAAGCCCTCCTGGATTTTTCCATCATAGCAGCCCTTTGCACCAACATAAAGGGAGCTCATAGGGGTTTCCTTGAACTTGTAAGGGCCTTGTCCACACTGGGCTCTCTCTGCCAGCTCCTTCCACTCAGCCCATGCCTAGAACGGTGCCAGGCATGCAGTAGGCTTGCGGTGAACTTCCTGAGTGAATGAAAGGCTGGTCAAATGATCATCTATGGGAAGGGCCCGCGACAGCCCTGGATGGAGGAAGACACAGTATTATTTGCCGAAGGAGAGAGAGGGAGAGAAAGAGAGGCAGACATTCTTGGTTACTAGGTTCTGTTTCCATAAAGTATGTAGATTTGTAATAAAATTTTTAAAAATAATATGTGCATGAGTTGCCCAAATTTAATAGCTACAACATATATGCTGTTTTGTCAATTCGAAGGCGTTGTTCAGTCGGAGAATACAGAATTATTTTCTTTTTCCAATTTCCCAACCAAGACAGAATTAAATTAGGACACGCCGGGGGCTGTTCAAGATGTGGATATACAGAAACAAAAGCTGAGTAGAAGGGTGGATAAAGCGCAGGGTGTGTGCGCATGTGCGCGCACATACACACACACACACAGGGAAGTGCACCAGACTGACCTAGCCTCTTCTCTTCCCAGGCCTGGCAGCTCTCAGGGCTGTCCTCCATCTGTTCCCCACCCCCTCCCTCAAAGGACGGGCCCCTCTTGTGGACCCGGGGGTGGGGCTGAGCCCCAGAAAACAGTGGGCACAGCTAAGGGGTCTGATACCTAGAGTAAGAGAGGCTGGCTGGGCGCTCTCCCGGTCGGTGAGGCTCCAGGAAGGGGGGCCGCGGGGTCACAGAGCAGCACCCCGGGCCGAGTGATGGTGGCGATGGTGACGCAGAGATAGTTACCGTGACCCGGAACGGGGTAGCAGCCGAGGGCTCCATGCTGGGGCTCTTCTCTGAGAGGCTGCCGGGCAGGCTGCGCCGGGAGCCTGGTCTTTCTTGGGGTGACTCTGTCAAAAGAAGGACAAAAAGAGGGTGAGCAAATTCAATCGCTCTGATAGAGGAACCCTTATCTTCACTTATCTTCACCCCTCATCCACACTTGTATGCCTAACTATTCAGAAGCTGATCAAGAGGATCAAACCAGTTAGCAAGACTCCGTCTCTACAGAAAAAGCTGCATGTGGTGGCACGTGCCTGACATCCCAGAGACTACAGGAAGCAATAAACAGGAAGGTTGAGGTGCAGGTGTACACGTGGAAGAAAAAAAATAAAGCCTTGCTGGGCGCCAGTAGCTCACACCTGTAATTCCAGCTATTCAGGAGTCAGAGATCTGAGGATCGGGGTTCAAAGCCAGGCAGGAAAGTCCATGAAACTCTTTTTTTCTTCTATATTCATTCATTCATCCATCCATTCATTGAGTGCCAGTCCTGAGTACTTTCCCTCAGTTTTTGTGCTCAAGGCTATTGTTTTACCACTTTGAGCTACAGCTCCACTTCCAGCTTTTTTTGGAGATAAGTCTCACAAACTTTCCTGCCCAGGATGGCTTGAAACCACAATCCTCAGATCCCAGCCCCCTGAGTATCTAGGATTACAGGCATGAGCCACAGATAAGTAGCCAGTACATGAGACACTTATCTCCAATTTACCACAAAAAAAAGCTGGAAGTAGAGCTATAGGTCAAGTGGTAGAGTGCTAGTCTTGACCAAAAAAACCTCAATGACAGCACCCATGCCCTGGGTTCAAATCCCCAGGACTGGCACCAAAAAAAAAAAAAAAAGTGAGGCTCAATCTCAATAAAGTGACATAAACTCAACACAGAAGGGAAACTATTCTAACAGTCCACCTATAAGAAATATCTAGAACAAGCCAAGCGCTGGTGGCTCATGCCTGTAATTCTAGCTACTCAAAAGGCTGAGATCTGAGGATCATGATGGTTCAAAGCCAGCCCAGGGAAGGAAAGTCAGTGAGATTCTCATCTCCCATAAACTACTCAGAAAAGGCTGGAAGTGGTGCTGTGGCTCAAGTGGATAGAGTGCTAGCCTTGAGCAGAAGAAGCTCAAAGATAGCACCCAGGCCCTGAGTTCAAGCCCCAGGACCAGCAAAAAAGAAGTGTCTCAATGGATTTTTTCCCCAGGTTGGATTTGAACCGTGCTCCTCCATCTCAGTTGCCTAAGTAGCTAGGAATAAGTAGCTAGGCATGAGCACTGGACCACTGACTTTTAATCCATACCAAGTTGTCCAAAGGCTTTTAAGCCTGGGAAACAAACAGACATAGCTCTGGTTGGTAACAGAGGTGGGGGAGGGGAGAGCAGCCATAGCTTCCCAGGAGTTTTTTATTTATTTGTTTGTTTGTTGTTAGTCATGAGGCTTGAACTCAGGGCCTGGGCACTAGCCCTGAGCTCTTTTGCTCAAGGCTAGCACTCTACCACTTTGAGCCACAGTTCTACTTCCAGTTTTTGAGTGGTTGGTTGGAGATGAGAGTCTCATGGAGACTTTTCTGCCCAGACTGGATGGAAGGGAGATCATCAGATCTCAGCCTCCTGAATAGCTAGGATTACAGGTGTGAGCCACTGGGCCCTGGCTTCCCACAAGTGTTTAAAATAGGAAATATTCAGATTCATAAATGATGACAGCTTCTATGAAACAGCCAGGTCTGTGGATACCTACTTAAGACTTGAGTCAGTCCAGCTCAGCCCAGCTCAGCCCAGCTCAGCCCAGCTCAGCCTCTGTGCTGGTCACCCTAGGCCACTCTGCTGCCTCTTTTCCTGCTGGGGGGGGGGGGGGGGAGGTAGTCCTTCTTCAAGGACACCCACTAACCTGATCAACAACATGCTCTGAAGGAGACACTTACTGGCTGCCTCCTCCCCCAAACTCTCAGAGAGAGAGAGAGAGGAGGAAGACTGCAGAACTCCTGACACCCACACCAGAGCCGAGTAGGCACTGCACACATTCACCTCCAGGCAGATGCTACAGTGTGCATGCAGCATGGAAATATAAGCATAACCACAGGAAAACAGACATGGCTGCTCACAGGAGCAGATTCGCAGAAGGCAGGACAGGTACCTAGGGCCATATGGCCAGTTGGACAGGAGGGGAGAGAGGGTTCCCAGAAACATGAAAGAGCAGAGCTGAGCCCCTCTCCCAACCAGGACAGGCTCCAATCCTGAGCCTTGGCTGAGGGCCAGGCAGGCAAAGTCACCTATTCAATTCTGGCCCCCCTCCTCCACAAAAACCTCTAACCAGACACTCCCCTCACCCAGTAACAACTACCAATTGCGTGTGTGTGCATGTGTGTGTGCGTGCATGCCCCAGTACTGGGGCTTGAACCCAAGGGCTCTATCCCTTAGCTTTTGTTTTTTGTAGGTGTTGGGTTTTTGGGGGCTTGGGGGGGTTTTTGTCGGTCATGGGGCTTGAACTCGGCTTGGGCGCTGTCCCTGTGCTCTTCAGCTCAAGGCCAGCGCTCTACCACTTGAGCCACAGCGCCACTTCCAGTTTTCTAGTGGTTTATTGGAGATAAGAGTCTCATGGACTTTCCTGCCTGGGCTGGCTTTGAACCAGGATCCTCAGATCTTAGCCTCCTAAGCAGTTAGGATTATAGGCATAAGCTACCGGTGCCCAACTATCCCTTAGCTTTGATGGCTCAAGGCTAGTGCTCTGTTACTTTAGCCAGAGCTCCATTTCCAGCCTTTTGGTGGTTAATTGGAGATAAAAGACTCATGGTCTTTGCTTTCCCAGGGCTGACTTTGAACTGCGATTCTCAGATCCCAGCTTCCGGAGGAGCTAGGATTACAGGCATGAGCCACTGGTACCCATCAGTCACCTGTGAAGGCCTGGCTTGCTCCCTTGCCAGATTTCTGCTTGGAACTTTCCCTCCCCTCCCCCACCGTCTCTGCAGACACCCACTGTGTGGGGAGGTTTCCCTAGGAAATCTCTTCCCACACTTCCCTAGCTGCTGTCATCTCTCTCCCCACACCCCCCAGCATCCACTGCGCTCCCTGCATGTCACCTCCACCTGCTCTGTGACAGCACACATCATGCCCACCTCTGGGTCCTGCCTGTGTGCACAGCCCTGTACCCAGCCCAGTGGGTGTTGGTAAACCTATTTTACCAGGTAGAAACTGAAGCTGGGGTAGCAGTCACTAGCTCAAAGACACACAGAGAGTGAGTGGTGGCAAAGGATTGGAGGACCAGATTGCGTTGGGATACAGAATCCTTGGCTCCCCTGGGTCCTGATGCCCACCAAGTATTCAAGTATTCTCTCAGGTATATAATAGGGCTGGGGAAGGGGACAAAGGGGGAGCCACATAGCATCAAGCATAGTCACAAGCTAGCCCACCTCTAAGCCCACTGGGACCCTTAGATGCAGGCCTCACAATGGCACCCAGTCTAGGACTGCTTCCCTCAGTCTGCTTCCCTTAGCCAATCAATTCCACGGTGCCCGCCACAAGGCAGGATGCCCCACCTTATTGTGTGTATGTGTGCGTGTATGTGTGCATGCACACCAGTACTGTGACTTGAACTCAGGACCTCTCACTCTTGTTTCACTGTTTTTACTCCAGGCTGTCATTTTACCACTTGGGCCAGAGCTCTATTTCTGGCTTTTTGCTGATTAACTAGAGATAAGAGCCTCATGGATTTTTCTGCCCAGGCTGGCTTTAAACCTTAATCCTCAGATTTCAACCTTCTGAGTACCTAGGTTTACAGACGAGAGCCACCAGCTCCCAGCTCCCCCCACCACCACCCCTCAGCAGACCACTCTTCCTAGCCCTGGGGCACTGTGGGTTCCTGCCTCGTGACAGGAAGGTGAATGTCTGCTCCACATCCCCATCCTGAGCCAGGCACCCAACAGGGCCGGGTCAAGGTTTGATACACTGAGCATCCACCAATTCCACTAACGCTGCAGCTGTGGAAGCTGATCAGCAGAATCGGGCCTCCAATGGAGCTCCTGGGATTTCCAGGACAACAGGGGCTGCTGACAAACTCCAAGGCACCATCTCCCCTCATCTCAAGATGTGCATGAGCACACCTGCACGCACGCGCGCGCGCGCGCACACACACACACACACACACACACACACAGAGCCACAGTTTTACCTCCCCTACTACACAGGTGGCTTCTCACGGCTCCAGGCAACAGACATGTGTAGTGACATGGCTGGACACAGGTCCCCAGGGAGGCTGCATGACACCCTCCCCCCCAAAGACTGACAATCTCCAGGAACTGCTCAGAATCCTGCCTCCTAGGTCTCAGCCAGGAGGTCCATCTACTATTTTACAGATGATAAAACTGAGGCCAAACAACTGACATGATCTGACACTGATCAAGAAGCATTGTGGGCAACATGCCTCTGATCATGCAAAATAATAGTGATCAAAATGAACTCTGGGACATGGGAATAAGTTTTTTTCTTTATTATTGTTTTTGTTTTCTTTATGTCTTCTTTGTTCATTTATTGATCATGTGGGCATGGGGGCAAGAAGGGACACAGAAATGGAGGGACAAAGGGTGAACATAGGGTGTAATGGTGCTCACTAGGCACAATATTGAAAAATGAACTATACACCTTGTGGGTAGGGATGGGAGGGAAAAACTGGGAGAGAAGGAGGGAAGCAATGACACTGTCAAAAAAAGAAGAAATAAAGGCTGGGTGTGGTGGCTCACACCTGTAATCCTAGCTACTCAGGAGGCTGAGATCTGAGGATCATGGGTCAAAGCCAGCCCAGGCAGGAAACTCCTTGAGACTCTTATCTCCAATAAAGCACTAGAAAACCAGATGTGGCGCTGTGGCTCAAGTGGTAGAGCACTCACCTTGAACTGAAGAGCTTTCAAGCCCAGAGTTCAAGCCCCATGACTGACAAAACAGAGAGAGAGAGAGAGAGAGAGAGAGAGAGAGAGAGAGCTGGAAAGGTGGCTCAGTGGTAGAGTGCTTGCCTTGCATGCATGAGGCCCTGGGTTCAGTTCCCAGCCTCACACAAGCAGAAAAAGCCGGATGTGGCACTGTGGTTCA